ACTGTAGTCCTTCATGCTTTTCTGATGGCATTTTGGAAGTCATTTATGCAGCTTTCACATCCAGTCGATTTAGGAGTAATTAACATTTTTAGTTTTTAGTGTTACAAGAGAAGACATTTATTGAATGCGTTAAAGAAAGCCCAGGAAGGTAGGGACAGACTTTATTGTGAAGCGTTTACTTTGATTTTGTAATTACAACCACTTTCAGTCTGGTCGTCGCTTTCATCTGCTTTTTAAGTGTGTGGTCGGTTCTAGGTTTGGCTGCTTTCCACACTTATTTAATAACGACCAACGAAACGACAAATGAAGACGTAAGCGAAGCTATCTGTTTGTTCTTTCCACACTTGAAAGATAGCTTGTTGATTCGTTGTTCTTTAAGGTAAAGGGTATGTTTACGGCTAAGGGCAATGCTTGCAAAAATCCGTATATCCAGACAAACCTTTTTTCTCAGTGTATGTATTCGCTTTGCGGACCGCAGACTAAAAGGTACGGTATTGCATGTTTTCCCATGACGTTTGCAACTCAGTTCCCGGTTAATTCTAGTCTGATCGACCGCAGAAGTTTGATAGTTACCAATGATCACATCGATGTCACTGTTACGATGGTCAGAGAAGAACAGCATTCTGCCTCCCGTCCTCCTATGGTCAAACCAATGTCTGAAAACAGCGACAGATCACTAAGCGCCTTCACATGTCAAATGGTTTCTAGAGACAGCCTTAAGGTAAAAGAATCTATTTGACTTCCAGCAAGTTTGCTGTTTGGACGCATATTGGATAACTGAATTAACTCTGAGTTGGCATATTACGATGAATAAACGCATCATGGTTAATGATTTACAAAAACATATAGAAAACAAAAGCACCGAAAAATTTTGCTTGTTGTGTACAACTGTGTCCCTTACCTGTGAAGTGTATTAACATTGCTCGGTAACGTTAAAGCCAATCTTGGATGAAGCGAAGCCAAGATATATAAGCTTTCATATTTCAACGAAGCAAACGGAATGTCACAGCTGCTTAATTAAGTTGATAAGATTCTTTCGAACGGCCTGTATCTTAGGAACCTTCAGAATACATTTCACCGTGTTGGCTGGCGGCCGAAATTCGTCTCGTTCTTTAACACGGAGCAAGCATGAGAACAGCTGCGATCTGTAGCAATTTCAGACCAACAGTCAAGATGGTTCGTGGGGTACAGACTGAAATATCAAACTGTTGATGCCCTTTTCCTTTCAAACGGATGAATAACATTAACACATAACCTTGGGCAGTTTTATCATGCCATTTCTAAGTCTTATCTGTCCGAATGTTATTTGTCAGATGTTATTTTCTCTGTTACCTTTTATCAATCGTTGTCTTGATTTTTTTGCGTTTAACGATGAGTCATCACGTAGGGCAAACGGATGAAAAGTATGCTATGCATTCTTAGGGGGTGCAGCTTATGCTACTAGTCTCTGTCTGAGCTTGTAATTAGTTTATTTCTTCTAGGCAAAGCTGGAGTCGTGGTACAGTGCGTAAGAAGTCGGTTTGAACTCTGAAAGTGCCGAGTTTGATTTTGGCGGACAAGAATCTTTGCCTTAATCACGAATTCCCTTGGCCAAAAAACTTGCCACACGTTGTTTAAGACTCTAGTTTCCCAGTCGATAGAGCATCTTACTCAGAACCGAAAGGTCCCGGATTCGAGCCCCAGCCGGAATCGATCGCCATTCTTCCATCTGAGGCTGATAAATGAGTACCAGTCTATGAACAGGAAATAGGAGACCACGCACTATGCTTGCCGAGTAGTTGCTGCCGACTGCCTTTCCGTTTCCTTCTCTGACAGCAGCAGTTGTTGCGCAAGCTAATAAACCTGACTGACCAAAAAAGGCCCTCCTGGCCGATGGCATGGAAATGAGCATCAGCGTCCATCATTAAACTTCATAGAAAGAAGAGCGCCATACACCCATCATGACAGTATAAGGAAGACCGACATTCCAGCGGTTGCAGGCTTTCGTTTTTTCCTTCTTAGACAAAACTTATAAAAGGTATAAGGAGCTCTGTCAACCCCACAGGTTTGCCACCTAAGTATACCTCCTGTATTTTGTTGTTTTAGTCGTCTGCTTTACTGTAGGCTGTACTTTAAGCTGTGCATTTTGAAATCCGACGTGTATCAAAGTTGTTCTGGCAGTCTTATGGATCATGCGGTTTAATTCACTCGATTATGTTTTTTGTTTCTTCTTTGTTCCATCAACAAGTTCTTCGCACTACATAACATTTTTGAAAGCTAATTTAGCCTTCGTAAAATACTAAAGAATTTACGATGCGTTTGTTTTCTTGATGGAATTTTATCTGCTGTCAGTGTGATGATTTTAGTAATCCAATGGAATTAAAGCGCTTTGTCACGGGCCACGCTAGCATATTACGGAAGGTCAGAAATCCAAAAAAGACACGTCACGAAGTGAATGTTGCTGATTTCCGCTGCTATTGCTAAAGCTGAAGGAAACTTTGGCTGACAGACGAATATGTAAAGCAAAATTCTTCACTTTCGGCCCGATGTGTCTTTAAACTGCTATGAATTGTTGTCAACACGTTGTCTGTGAAACTGACGACAGTTCATCCTTTCGTGATTCCAATACAATTGTGACCGGACCGTCGTTTTCGAGATGTACGTCCATGTGTTCACCGAATTTGCCGTCTAAAAATGAACAATAAGTTCATGTATTATGACAGTCATTACCTGAAATTAAGATCATAGTTAATGGCAATAGTCTCCTATTATAAACGACATCGTTGTTAATCGTGGTTCATAATTTTACCGACATGAACGACTGAAGTTGATTATATCTGCAACTACCTTTCACCAGATCTTGCCCGTGTTGGTTCCTAAGTTCATCCAAAAATTTCTGATAAAATTCATGCGCCTTTACTGGTTCCATCGCCAAGTGATAATCAGGCCTGTTCTTTTTCACGGTGGCGCATAGCGTAAACTGGAAAAACATGTTCATTATTTATCAAGTAAATGTCATAAAAGCAAACCTGACTAATGCACAGAACTTCCAGGCGTAAATCACTAACACTTTTGCACCACCGCTTTTCGGAAATCTCGCTGAACAAACGTATATTCAAGATCTTTCGTATCCTGAGCTCACAAAGATATATTCATCATTGATTAAATTTGACCACAAGCAAAACTACATTTAAGTACAGCTTTGATTTTTGAAAGATGTATCAAAATAATTTTAGCTGATAGCTTATTTTTAGACATTTTACACTGGGTTTTTGTAACACCTGACAGTTTTTTCCTTGGAGAATAAATCTTAAAGCTAATTTTTTTACATAAATATATTACAGAAAATGTTTCAGAATGAGTCAAGGTGATTTATTTTCGCATTGTAGCTATTTCCAATGAATAATGCTACGAAATCTGCAAATAAAATTTATGTAGCCTCCGCAAATGAACAGCTCTAGTAAAAATCCACAACTGTCCTTTGCCTCCTCTAGTCTTTTTCTACAGTTTAGAATTACCATTCGCTTGATCTAGTTTTCTTACAAAGTCTGTTTCTCAAATCGCCTGAGAATTTATGTTGGCCTTTATCAGTGATGCGGGCTATGTTTATGATTCAGTAGCTGAACATTAATGATGAATCACTCCTGTTTTCATGATGATCTAGAATTTCGCGATGTTACTTCAGAATTTAAACAACAGGTCCTTCTTCATCGCCTTTTCTTCATCGCTCACCTTCCGCCACTATCCCCTTGTCTCTACTGGCTTCTTTCTTTCAAAAACCAAGAGATCAGAGTTCACGTTAAAATGTGCTTTGGGCATGGCAAATAACTGTTCAAAGCAAGCTTAGCTAGTGTCCCACATGCGAATCTTACATGCTGTAATTTATATACTACTTTTAATGCCTTTGAAACCGTCGTAAACAGTATTTAGCCGTCTATTAATTTACGAATCAAAGGATTACAACTTTGGCAGTCAAATTATCGCCATTACATTTATGCTCTCCGTTACCATCGTCATCATCTATATTGTACAATCTTCATAACTAGCTTTGCAATCGTAATCCTCAATATCACCACGATTAATTATCGCTACCGCCAACATTACTGTTATCGCAATCCTCGCTCTTAATACTGTAACCTCGGCGTCCTCGTTGCATAGAACAAGTTATGATAAAAGTAAAGATTGCGTTGCAGCGTGAACTACAGTGCAAGTTACATTACTGGACAATCATTAAAACCTGTGCACAAATGAGGCTCTGGTAACTAGGCTCATCATGTCTTATAAGTTTTGCTTAGGAGAAAAACCACTTATAACCCTGAACAGAAGAATTGCCAAGCCACCACGATAAAATCGCCAAAACATCTTTTCCTAATGCCACATCTGAACGCAAAATGAGCAGGAATGAACGGGCAAAAAGTATTACGAAAAATTGAGTACCTGATAGATAATACTAAAAATGAAAAGAAAATAGCAGCACAACCATTACATCCCGCATCAAACCTCAATTTCGTGGTTTGCATCCCCAGTCGCACTTCATTCCATTCCAGCACTTACGATCATAAATTAAAGTAGAAAATCGATTTTTTTGTTTCAGCATCCTGCTGGTTGTAACCGGTGAGTGCTAGCCACAGATATCTCAAATTCTTCATCCACAACAGGTCCACTTCATACATATCCAATATCCCAGGGCGTTTTATACGGCAAGGCAATTAGTTTTCAGTTGCCTTTCATAATCGCAGCTGTGAGTGTTAGAAACTTGAAGCAAAAGAAATACGATCATTTCAGACAGCAGCGACCACAACTTGCAAACTACCGTATCCAGAAAAATGTTGGTGAAACATGAAATGAAACGCTGGTATTGCTTTATCTATCGACAGCTTTGTATTTTGAATTGTATTAAAACCGTACTGAACTTGTTTACGAAAGACAAATGTAAACAAAATTTAAAACATCCTATTGAGTTACTGACACTAATCAAATATTAAAACAAGACTAAAAGTCTATTCTTTTCTTATATTAGGATTCACTTAATTATATGTATTAATAAATCGGAAGGGAGCAGTGATGCGGTGAACAGGTTTAAAAGTCTGGAGGGACCGGATTCGAATCCTATATGCGGAGTACGTTATATTATTAACTGCTAATTCACTTGAACAATGAATTCGCCCGAAAGCGCTTTAGTACAACCAGAGAGTAACGGAGAGCAAATCGTTAACAAGACGAATATCACTTTGCTGCACCTAAATGTAAATGTAGCATCATACTAAATCG